AAGGGGAAGGGGAAGGGGAAGAGGCTCATTTGGAATGTGGACTGTATTAGAGAGAAACTTGGGCTGTTTCTGTGCCACCCAATGCCTCAAGAAACAACCATGGTGGGTGAAGGAAGGACAGATGGAATAGAAAAGTATAGTGGCAAGGATCTGTGCTGCTTCAGGATTGTGTTTGTGTTGGATTGCACGTGAGCATAGACAGCTCCTGTTGCCACGAAGAGGTGGTACTTACAGTCATTATTTTTAACACCTGTGGAAAAAGTGTTAGTATGATGTTCCATTTTCTGCATTCCTACATGTGTACCTCATCGACTTCCACAAACACAGATAACCTGTTTAGTATTTATATCATATATTCCTTTAAATTCTGTTTAAAATGGTGTCTCTGTGGCTTTTTGGTATTTTTCCTCCCCTCATCAAATATTTCTTTCTCCCCTTGTTGCTCCAAAGGAAAAAAAAATGCAAAACAGTCCTGTTTGATGCTGGGATAATTGACTCTGAATTCCTTCAAAACTGCTTTCCCAGCTATGTGGCTGAGACCTTGGGGCTGGAGAAAGCTTTCTTCCCATTCAGTCTCTGAGGCACTGAGTATTTCTCATGGAGAAGCCTTTTGAAATAAATGTGTTAATCCTTTTGGTATTCGAGTACTGAAGAAAGAGCTCCCAAGTTCATTTCAGTGCAGTGCCTGAACATCTAAACCTCCCAGCGGTGCTTTTTCCATCCTCTTAGCTCAGTGGGCTGAAAGGTTCTGACCACAGCAGTACTCTCCTCTGCTCTCCCTCCTCCATGCTGCACTTGGCACAGGCATAGCTACTCCCAAAAACACTTCCAAGAGAGACCTAGGTAGGGCAGACTAGGAAAAACATGATTTTGCCCAATTCTGTTGCTGGAGCAAGTCCAGAGAAGCTGTGGATGCGCCATCCCTGGATGAGTTCAAGACCAGGTGTGGTGGGGCCCTGGGCAGCCTGAGCTGATGCCTGTTTCAGTGGGAGGCAGCCCTGCCCATGGCAAAGGTGTTGGAACTGGATGGTCTTTGAGGTCCCTTCCAACCCAAACCATCCTGGGATTCTATGATTCCGTGGGTCCAGCATAGCAACTCTGCTACGGAAGATGTTTTTGTCCTTATAGGTTAAAGGCTACCCGGTTAAGTTAGGACATAATTCAGTGATAAGAGGAAACCTGTCCAATATCAGAGATTGGCAATACTCAGGACATTTATTTACCTTATTAACATGAAAGTCTGTTGTAGCTTTCACTGTGGAGTGAAGGATGGATTTAACTGCTTCCTGATTATTTGTGCAAAAATCACTTAGATTTTTCTAAAACTGTGAGAAAACAAGCAAACAAGCAAATGTTATTTCATATCTCTCTGTTACAATAAATTCATCATTTGGATTTCATTTTGATCACAGGAGAGACTTGCCGAAGTGGAGTCACACAAAGTGGTCTGGAGGTCTTTTCCAACCCTAATGATTTGTGAGTCTATGAGCACCTTCCATTTTACATCCTTGCCTGGGACGCACAGCTGGCCAGGCTGATGCTTCCCCAGGCCACCACATTTCACTGCCCTGTTTCTGGTGGTTGTGGAAGTGCAGGAATTATAAAATAACCCCAGACTTGTCAGGCAGGTTTCCATGTGGCAGTGGTATACCCTTGGGCTTGCTCTTCATTGGCTTCTCAAGCAACAGCACAATAAATATATGCCCATCAGACACTTGTATGTGGTTGATGTAAGCAAACTTCTAAAAAACAGTCCGTGATACTCCTTTGCAATGGCATGTTCGAGATCAAACTTCAGAGCTCAGAGCTCAATTTTCTATAATTACTCAGGTTTATGGAGCTGTCATCACCATGTCAAGACAGCTAAGAAATTAGAGTGTGGCTTTTTAATCCTACAAAAAAAATGTCTTTTAAGAAAAATGTCGCCTTTCATATTTCAATTGAAACAGTGTGGTCATTGTGGAACGGACTAGCAGTTCTTTTGATGACTTAATTTATATTCAGCTAACTACCGTTGAGAATGAACATGCAGAATGAACATCCAGATTCTGTGCAAATTAAATATATTTCACTGCCTTATTTCCACCTTTCTTAATTTGCAGTTGGGGTGTATTAATTACAGCTTTGAGCACTGTGACTGGCGCAACAGAAGCCTGCATATTTTGTGCATTAAAACATCACTGTAAAACTTTGCTAGCTGTTGTCTCATCATAAAATGGGAGCCAGTTCCTCTTAAGTACTTACCTATATTTGCACCAGGTGCTATCAGTAGGAAGGTGAATGATAGAGATAATAACGCTCCACTAAATTGACGTGTGCTTTTTTATTTAATTTTTAAAAAGTGCTTTTGCCACATCATTACACACTTTGAAGAGGATCTTCTTTTCCTCCTCATTTTCTTCTTCTTCTTCTTTTTTTTTTTTTTTTTTTTTTTTTTTTTTTTTTTGTATTTTATGAGTAGGATTGTATTATACAGGAAAATAGTTTGGTCCATAATTGAAACTGTTCAGGTTGTGAACTAGTTCAAATGGAGAAAGAAAACAATACCCCAAGTACTAGGGGTCTGAATTGAAATGTGATATGCCAACTCTACCCTGTTGTCAGTGCTCCTTAACTGATGGCACCTCCCATGGTAGCCTGTGCCATTGTCTCACCACCCCCTGAATGAAGGAATTTCCTAACATCTCATACAAATTTCCCTTATTTTCGTTTAAAGCCGTTAATGGCATATCACCATCAAACCATGTAAGAAGTCACTTTTCTTCCTGCATAGAAGCTCCTCTTACGTAGTGGAAGGACCTTCATATGTGGTCCTGCCTTCAAGGCAGCTCTGCTCTGACCACTGCTTATAGTCAGAGCTTTAAGTCACTGCCAGGAATAATTGCCTTCAGGAAAAGATCCGTAGTGGGAGAACAGAATGCAGAAATAGTTGCAGTACTTCGGTGTGCATCTGCTGGTGCAAACTGCAGTGATGCTACTGTGCTACTTAAATATCCAAGGAGGGTGTAGCTATGATCCACAGACTCTGAGTTCATTTGTACCACAGACAAGAGCTCTAACATCACTCATAGAAGCAAAGCTGCTTAAGAGAAAGTAATTACAGTGAGAGAACGAGAGAGCTTAAAGTAACATGTCAGTACAAGGACATGTATTAAGAAAGTGCCTTATTAAGGGATTGCTTTTTGTAATGTAAGCAAAATATTTTTCAAGTCCAAATGTATGTTTGCAAATGTACCCATAGGAGTTAGTAACGCTGACAGTGAATGTTCCCACTTCTTTACTTTGGTCGGAGGAGAAATCTAAAAAGTCATTTGCAGGTACACAGAAGCACACACTTGGCAGTTGTGTGGGATGTCTTGTATAGTTGTATTCCCACTGGGAACATGTG